CCTGGCAGCCCCGCCCCGGGGCAGAGCTCACTCGCTCACCCTCCTGCACCGACAGACACGGCCCCACCCCCGCGGCGCCGCGCACAGACAAGACAGACAGACAGACAGACAGACAGAGCCTGCAGACAGGTGCAGGGCAGTTTTATTCGCCTGTGGCCCCGCCTCAGCCGGCCGCCACCGTCTCCTTGACCCAGGCCAGGACACGCCGCACATCCACGTAGACGCCGTACTTGGAGGCCGTGCATGTCTTGTCGTAGCTGAGGATGCCAGTCGCGTACCAGGTGTCATCGTCGGGGTCCTGCACGGCAAAGGCACCACCGGCGTCCCCGTAGCACGTGTCCTCACGCAGCTCGCTCATGCCCACGCAGAAGGTGTCATTGCTAAGGGTGGGCTGGACCCAGTAGGACGCGTTCCGCGCCTCGTAGTACTGCCGGCACTGCTCCTCCTCCGCCACTGGCAGCATCACGTACTTCAGCATGTCAGGAAAGGCAAAGGTGGCGCCGCGGCCCCAGCCCGAGACATAACCCACCTGCCCTGGGCGCACATAGTCTTTCTGGGGCAGGCAGATGGGCATTGCCTCATCCCCGAGGGGCACCTTCTGCTTGAGCTTCAGCAGGGCCAGATCCACAGCCTCAGGGTAGGCGGGGTGCAGCACCACACGCTCAATGTCCAAGGCAGGCTGATTCTGCTTCTGGCTGCCCAGGAAGAGCTGCAGCGTCGGGGCGATCTCCTCAGGCTTGGCGTCCGCAGTGTGGTTCAGGTAGACATTCCTGCCCGTGGTCAGCAGCCACTGGTCGCTGATGAGCGTGGCCCCCACGGTGAGGTTATGGCGGGTCACCAGCCGGCCCTGCCACGGAAAGCTGTCCTTCTGAGCCAGCAGGCCCCCGATGATGCGCTGCATCTGCCTGGGGGGGTTCTTCGGCTTCCCGCACACTGCACGGGGCAGAACAGGGTCCTGGTGAGCCCCCGGGCCCGCAGCAGCCCCAGGGAGCAGCACTGCAGATGGGAGATGCGAGCAGCTGCCCAGGCAGAGAGCTCAGAGGCCCCCCCCGCTGCCCGGTCCCTCCAGCCCCAGCCGCTGTCCCTCTGCTCTCACCTGGCTCGCAGACAGGCACCTCCCTGCCAGCTTCGGAGCTCACCCACGTGTGATCCTCATCACACCTGTACATGCCTTTGGGGGAAACCAGAGTCAGCACCCCTGCCCTGTGAGGGGGGAAGGGCGGGCCCTGCAGCCAGGGAGGCGTGGAGGTCCTCATTCCTCCCCAGGACTCGGGTAGCAGGGGTACCCCGGGGGGCTGCATCATCCCTCATCGGGACAGCCCCACTGTCCCCTGGAGCCAGGGAGAAGCCCCATGCCCCGGGCCACGCCCACGCCTCACCATCCCCGGCGCCGCGCAGCCGGTAGTGCGGGTTGCAACGGTACTGGATGAGGTGCTCCACGTAGCCGTGTTCGATCTCCGCAGGCTTTGTGCAGCTCCATTCTGCAGGCACAGAACACTGGGTCCCTCTTCAGCCCTCATCTTCCTGCCCTACACCTGCTCCTTGCCAAGCTGCCACTTGGCTCCATCCAAGCCCCAGCGCTCCCACCCTTGCCCTGAAAGGTACCAGTGGCAGTTGTGGTGTCCAGCATGGTCCAGGCCAGGCCAGCGATCAGCAGCACTGCAGGCCTGCAGGGAAGAAAGAGCACGCTCAGCAGAGGGTCCTACCCCACTGCTCCCAGGCTGTGGGCTGCACCAAGACCAGTGCCTCAGCCAGGATCCTCCCCCATCCCAGCAGGTCTCCCCAGGAGGGCAGAGGGCCGACCCCACACCTCCAGGATTTCCCGTCAGACACAGCCTGGACCCTGCTGCCATAGAGGACAAGGCTGCAGTGTTGTGACCCAGAACATTTCCAGGCCCAACACGGGTCCTGTCGCAGCCCATGGCGGGGCCAGGTCCTCAACCAGGCAAGCAGGACGGACACGGCACTGAGCACATGCAGGGACACAGTGTCGCTCACCCCATGGTCACAGCTCCCTCTCCTCACAACAGCCTCCTTCTGCAGGCTGATGCTGCTCAGAGCTCCCTCCTCATCCCTTTTATCGCCACCTCCCTCGCCCTGGTGCGGCCCCCTGTGCTCCAGACCTCCTGACCCCGTCATGGGCAGCCAGCACCTTTCCCAGCAGGAGAAGCACAAAAATCCCCGCCTGGCTCACAGCCGGCCTGGCAGAGGCTCCTGGGAAGGCAGCCAAGCCCCCACAGGAAGCCAGCGTGCCAAGAGTTTCCGGGATTTTGCAGTTACAAGTATGCAGGGAGGGATCTGGCTGCAGATGCTGGTGGCCTGGCACGGTGACACCAGCTGAGGTTCACAGAAAGCAGAGCCAGTCCCTGACCCCTGCCAAACCTAGAGCTGTCCCCATGGGGGCACTAAGCAGCCCCCCAGTGCTGGCAGGCGAAGCTTGGGCGTGGGAGCCAAGTCCCATCCCATCCCGGGCCTGGCTCTGCCCGCAGCCAGGGCACTCCCTGCCAGCCACCCCGCATGGCCGGGGCGCAGCAGGGCGCGGTGCTGACGGAGCCCTGGGCAGTGCCAGCCCAGCTGGCTGAGGGATGCAGTGTGTCCACGCCAGATTGCTGCAGGCTCCGAGGAACCGTGGCCAAGACGACCTCTTCCCAGAAGTACCTGCCCAGCAGGCTCCAGCCCCGTGTCCTGGCAGCCCCGGGCCCCCTGGGTGAAGGTTGTTTGTGAGCAGAGGGGAGCGCCCGGCCCAGCCTGACGGGAACTTGCAGTGGCAGCCGCTGGCTGGTGCCCAGCAGGGTGTGACAGCCGGCAGCCAGGGCAAAGGGTCTGCTTCCCACAGCACAACCGAGGGGCAGTGTTGGGGGAGCGGACAGGCACCCCCCTCTCACCTACCTCGTGGTGCCAGTGCTACAGCGAGGCTGCCCCAGGCCCAGGCTGGCCCTGAGCCACTGAAGATTGGCTGGGGGTCTTGCCCTCTGCCCCTCAGGTCCTTCAGGTGCAGGAGGGACACTGTGTCTGGCCCCAGACACTCCGCAAGACCTGTCCCACCCTGTGCAAGCTTCTTCCTTCTCATGGGATGCCTGTGCCTCAAAACAATGCACGGCTTGACAACTCTGGCCCAGCACCAGTCATACTCGTGCAACCACGCTCGGAAGGCAGAAGGCTGGAGTCCAGCTCCGACCCAAGCAGAAGGCTTGACAGCTCCGACCCATGGAGCCATGCTGGCACTTAGAAAGGTGTTGTGGCATTTGGTGACGGCAGGCTGGTAGCAGGTTTGTCCCTCCCCGGGAGACTGCCATGCCCTGGCAGGGGGGAAAAAGCAACACACGGCTGTGCCCTGGTGCCCACTGGCAGCGCCAAGGTTCACTCAGACAAAGGGACTGTGTGCAGGAGCTAACCAGGCTGCCCGTGGACATGGACCACCGCCCACGCACCGGGCTGTGGCAGCACAGGGCCACGCTTGAGACCAACGCCACCAGCTAATGCCATGGCAGCACAAGGTACCGATTGTCTCCAAGTCACAGTCAGGGATCAGCTGCAGAGCACAGACAAAAGTGCAGCAGGACAAGGGAAAACTCAAGCTCACACTCCCACGGACACGACAGCTGCCTTCAGACCTGGAGCCTCCCAGGCCCTCTCCAGAGAAAGCACATGCAAACCTCGGCCAGCGGACCAGCTCATGTCCCTGTCAGAGCAGCAGCAAGCACCAGCTGTCTGAAAGCAGAGAATCGAGGGAACAAGGTTGGTGCAGGGGCTGCAGAAGCAGGGGAGCAGGTGGGTGACAGCCCTGACGTGAACAAAGGGCTTCTGGGAGTAGGGTCAGCGGCCCCGCACCTGTAAACCAGTTTGGTGAAGAGCTGTGATGCTATCCTGCTCTGCAGGGTGGATTGCGAGAGGCTGCAGAGGGAATGCCACGTCCAAGTCAAAGCCGTGTTGCTCAAGAAAAGCCCAAGATGACAACAGGCAGCCCAGGGTAAAACAAGTCAACACCGGAGCCCCAGAGACAAACCCGACAGCCTCCAGCAGTGTGAACAAACAGGGCCTTTTCACAAGTGACAGGGCGTAACCACAGCTGCCTCCAAACATCTGTGTACTGGCAGCAAAGGGAAGAAACTGTGTCCAGCACCTCCCAAGGGCCCAGCCTCACATGGAGATCTCTGCGAAGGGAGCCCAGGCGGGCTCGGCGTGGAACCATCCCAGAGCCCTGCAGCTTCTAGCACCAGGAAAAGATGCACCAACTGGGAACAACGTGAAGGGAGCTGCTCGGCTGAGGAGATCTGGACTGTGTCCCACCAGCCCAAGGGGTGTCCCTGGAGTAGCACACAGGAGCAGGTGAGCCAAACATTTATTGACACTCAGGCAGGACCCAAGGCCCGCAGGTTTGTTACAGGACCACATGCAGAGAAGAGAGGAGGGCAGCAAGAACAGACCCTCCTGCAGAGGCTGCAGTGCAGGACCGAGCGCCAGCCAGAGCAGGCAGCACGGGCTGGAGGGTCTCTGTGTGGCCCCCAGCTCTGGGCAGTGACACCGGGAAGGTATGCCCTCCCTGGGAAGCGCTGCAGCCCGCAGGGCCCTTCCTCACCACCCAGCGCTGGTTTCTGCTGGGGAGCCCAACCCCCAGGAAAGCCAAAATATGGCCCTGGACAGCAGCACCAGTGCAGAGGCCCCTGCCCCAGTCCCAGCCTACCCAGCACTGGAAGCGTCAGGCCTGTCCCTGCCTGGCCACAGCTGCTCCCAGCCAGATCTTGGTCCTGCAGCACATCAGCGCCGGTGATCTGCTCCCACCGCCTCCATGACGTTCTTGAATCCCTGCTCCCTAACAGGGACAGCGCATGACTGCTCGGCCCCGCAGTACCTCCACTCTTGCACCAGCACGGTGCTGCCCGGAGACACCCTGAGCCCAGCAGCTCCCCTGGGGAGCTGCCTGGCTCTTCACTCACCTCAGCAGCTCCTCCAGCTCCCGCTTCACCGTCCCCACCACCAGCGGCCCATGGTACACAAGTGCTGTGTATATCTGCACCAGCGAGGCTCCAGCACGGATCTTCTCCAGGGCGTCGTGCCCACTGCTCACCCCGCCCACCCCGACGATGGGCACCTGGCCTGCGGGCAGGAGCGCGCTCAGGACGGCACAGGCAGCGCCAGCCCGCGTCCGCAGCCCTGCCCTGCCCCTACCCTGGGTGAGGGTGTACATCTCCCTGACGGTCTGCGTGGAGAGCTCCCGCAGCGGCTTCCCGCTGAGGCCCCCGGGCTCCGTGTGCTGCCGGCTCTGGAGGCCGCTGGGCCGGCTCACGGTGGTGTTGCTGACAATCAGCCCGTCCACACCGAGCTGCAGGGGCAGCAGCATAAGGACACGGCTCCCATGAGCAGCCCCCAACTCTCATCCTCAGGCTGCCAGGCCAGGACCCTCCCCAGCAAGTGCCCCAGCAACACACCTGGGGACAAAGCAGCTGCCCCTCACCGGCTGGGCCGTCCCCAAGGTCTGGGTGACACGCACAGGCCTTCAAGGGGGCTGCAGAGAGGGCACCTGCCAGGAGCGCCGCAGTCCTGTCCCCGTGCGGCGCCCAGCTCCCCACCAGCTGCCCCCTCCTGCCTCTCACCTCGCGGACGACGCTCGCGATGTCCCGCTTGTCCTGCGCTGTGAGGTCAGGGGCGATCTTCACCAGCACAGCTGGCTTGTGCTCGCAGGGCAGCGCATCCCTCTCCGCCAGCACCTGCGGGGCAGGGAGCAGGTCGGGGGGAGGGGGAACGCACACCTCCACCTCAGACCTGGGAGGCCTGCGCACCCATCACCGCAAGCAGCACAGTTGACAGGGCCTGCTCCTCCTGTACGGTGCTGCTGCCGGGACGGGCGCCCCACGGCACCGGGACAGGGCAGACAACCCGCCCAGCACCACAGAGACTCCTGATGCCGTGGCGGGGGCTCACTGCCCCCTCGTAGGAGCAGAGTGGAGGGCAACACCTCCCTGCTCACGTGCAGGAGCACAGTGCCTGGGGAACCAGCAGCTGATTGGGGCACACCTTGTTGGCTCTGCCCACCACTCCCACCCGCCCCTTCCCACACTGGCACAAACCCGCTGCTGGAACAGAGTGGGTGCTGCTGCAGGGGATGGGATGCAGCTGGTGCTGGCAGCCGTGGCCTGGGCTGGCTGTCGGGATCACTCACCTTGGTCAGCAGGTCCCTCAGCTCAGCCTTGCCCTGCAGGTCCCGCAGCCCTGGGGTGTTTGGGCTGGACACGTTCACAACCAAGTAGTCAGCCAAAGGGCCCAGTGTCCGGACTCCAGCCACGTAGTCAGCTGCAGCATCGGTAGAGCTCTTGTTCTTGCCCAGGTTGACTCCGAGGGGCATTCCCTCTGGAACACAGACACGGCTGAGCCAGGGCAACAGGACCAACCACCACCCGAGGGGCCAGAGCGCCTGGCAAGGGAGGCCCCAGGACCAGCTGAAATCACGACAGGGTTATGCAACCCACGTGTTTCATGGGGGTGGGCCTGGGACTGTCCTGCAGGCACTGGAGCATCACCACAGCTGCCCCAGTCAGCACCGCAGCCTCCAGCCTGACCACCTGGTGGGGGCTGCCCTCAGAAACTGCCCAGCTGGGGCTCTCTGTTGGCTTTGATAGTCTCTACAGACACGTCCTGCCCGAAGCAGCAAGCGGAGCCTCTATCACAGAGAAAATGGCCAGAGAAAGGTGCCTGGTCACAGTCCCAAGGTGGACAGGTTACAGCCCCAAGAGCATTTCTGCTATCCGAGTGCACCTCGCTCTGGCCAGGGCCCTCCTGTGCCCAGACACGGGCATCACACACCTTTCCTGGCCCACAGCTGCCTGGGAGACCCCCAAACCCACCCTGCAGACCTCAAGAGCAAAGGCTTATAAGCTTGTCTCACCACCAGTGAGCCTGAGCTGCATCTCCTGGCGGGACCGCAGCCTGCGCTCCACTGCGACGTGGCCATGGCTGTTGAATCCGTACCTGCACCACAACAGACAAGGCTCAGGGCGAGGCTGCTGTCCACAAGCCCCAAGCAGGACACAGGTGAAACACAAGGGAGACGCGTGGTCTCTGCAGCTCCGCTCAGCACATCCAACCCAAGAGCCCCCACAGCACAGACCCCAGAGCCAGGACCACCCACATAAATGCCCTCCTGCTGGGTGGAGCAGCCGCCCTCGGATTCCACCTGTTAATGACTGCCTCGTCCTCTGCCAGCCGGAAAACTCTGGGCCTGGGGTTCCCCTCCTGGGGCTGGGGCGTGACCGTCCCCACTTCCACAAAGCCGAACCCCATCTTGTACAGCCCGTCCACAGCCTCGCCCTGCTTGTCGAAGCCGGCCGCCAGGCCCACGGGGTTGCGGAAGCGGTGCCCGAGGACTCGCACCTCCTGTGGGGTAGGGGCTGGGTCAGGCGCTGGCAGCCAGGAGGGCCGGAGCCCACCGACACCGGGAGCCACAGCCAGGATCTCGCTCCAACCCCCTCCCATCCTTTTCCCCCCGCCCCGCAGGGTCTCCCCCTCGGGTGCCGGCCCCGGGGGACCCCCAGCTCCCACTGGGACCATCTCCTGGCCCCAGGGGCCCCTCTGCCGCCTGGC